CGATAGACCCCTGGCAAACCTGACTAAAATGAGGAGAGAAAAAACCCAAATTAGTAGAATCAGGAATGCAAAAGGGGAGATAACAACAAACACCATGGAAGTCCAGGAAATCATCAGAGACTACTTTGAGAACCTATATTCAAATAAATTTGAAAATCTAAAGAAATGGACAGATTTCTAGATACATATGATCATCCAAAACTGAACCAAGAGGAAATTAATCACCTGAATAGATATAACACAAAATGAAATTGAAGCAGCAATCAAGAGTCTCCCCAAAAAGAAAAGTCCAGGACCTGATGGATTCTCTGCTGAATTCTATCAGACCTTTAAAGAAGAACTGATACCAACCCTCCTTAAACTGTTCCACGAAATAGAAAGGGAAGGAAAACTGCCAAACACATTTTATGAAGCCAGTATTACACTTATCCCAAAACCAGGCAAAGACACCTCCAAAAAGGAGAACTATAGGCCAATCTCCTTAATGAACATTGATGCAAAAATCCTCAACAAAATAATGGCAAACCGAATTCAACAACACATCAAAAAGATTATTCACCACGACCAAGTAGGCTTCATCCCAGGGATGCAGGGGTGGTTCAACATGAAAATCAATAAACGTAATAAACCACATTAACAGAAGCAAAGACAAAAACCACTTGATCATCTCAATAGATGCAGAAAAAGCCTTTGATAAGATCCAACACCATTTCATGATAAAAGCTCTAAGAAAACTAGGAATAGAAGGAAAGTACCTCAACATTATAAAAGCTATATATGACAAACCTACAGCCAGCATTATACTTAACGGAGAAAAACTGAAACCATTCCCTCTAAAATCAGGAACAGACAAGGATGCCCACTATCTCCACTCCTATTCAACATAGTACTGGAATTCCTAGCCAGAGCAATTAGGCAAGAAGAAGGAATAAAAGGAATACAAATAGGTAAAGAAACTGTCAAAATATCCCTATTTGCAGATGACATGATCCTATACCTTAAAGACCCAAAAAAACTCTACTCAGAAGCTTCTAGACATCATCAATAGCTATAGCAAGGTAGCAGGATATAAAATCAACATAGAAAAATCATTAGCATTTCTATACACTAATAATGAGCAAACTGAAAAAGAATGTATGAAAACAATTCCATTTACAATAGCCTCAAAAAAATCAAATACCTAGGTGTAAACCTAACAAAAGATGTGAAAGACCTCTACAAGGAAAACTACACACTTCTGAAAAAGAGATTGAGGAAGACTATAGAAAGTGGAGAGATCTCCCATGCTCATGGATTGGTAGAATCAACATAGTAAAAATGTCGATACTCCCAAAAGTAATCTACATGTTTAATGCAATTCCCATCAAAATTCCAATGACATTCATTAAAGAGATTGAAAAATCTACCGTGAAATTTATATGGAAACACAGAGGCCACGAATAGCCAAGGCAATACTCAGTCAAAAGAACAATGCAGGAGGTATCACAATACCTGACTTCAAACTATATTACAAAGTAACAATAAAAACAGCATGGTACTGGCACAAAAACAGACATGAAGACCAGTGGAACAGAATAGAGGACCCAGATATGAAGCCACACAACTATAACCAACTTGTCTTTGACAAAGGAGCTAAAAATATACGATGGAGAAATAGCAGCCTCTTCAACAAAAACTGCTGGGAAAACTGGTTAGCAGTCTGCAAAAAACTGAAACTAGATCCATGTATATCACCCTATACCAAGATTAACTCAAAATGGATCAAGGATCTTAATATCAGACCCAAACTCTAAGTTGATACAGGAAAGAGTAGGAAATACTCTGGAGTTAGTAGGTATAGGTAAGAACTTTCTCAATGAAACCCCAGCAGCACAGCAACTAAGAGATAGCATAGATAAATGGGACCTCATAAAACTAAAAGCTTCTGTTCATCAAAAGAAATGGTCTCTAAACTGAAGAGAACACCCACAGAGTGGGAGAAAATATTTGCCAGCTATACATCAGACAAAGGACTGATAACCAGAATATATAGGGAACTTAAAAAACTAAATTCTCCCAAAACTAATGAACCAATAAAGAAATGGGCAGTGAACTAAACAGAACTTTCTCAAAGAAGAAATTCAAATGGCCAAAACACATGAAAAAATGCTCACCATCTCTAGCAATAAAGGAAATGCAAATTAAAACCACTAAGATTCCACCTCACCCCTGTTAGAATAGCCATCATCAGCAACACCACCAACAACAGGTGTTGGCGAGGATGCGGGGAAAAAGGAACCCTCTTACACTGTTGGTGGGAATGTAGACTAGTACAACCACTCTGGAAAAAAATTTGGAGGCTACTTAAAAAGCTGACATTGATCTACCATTTGATCCAGCAATACCACTCTTGGGGATATACCCAAAAGACTGTGACACAGGTTACTCCAGAGGCACCTGCACACCATGTTTATTGCGGCACTATTCACAATAGCCAAGTTATGGAAACAGCCAAGATGCCCACCTGACGAATGGATTAAGAAAATGTGGTATCTATACACAATGGAATTTTATGCAGCCATGAAGAAGAACGAAATGTTATCATTCGCTGGTAAATGGATGGAATTGGAGAACATCATTCTGAGTGAGGTTAGCCTGGCCCAAAAGACCAAAAATCGTATGTTCTCCCTCATATGTGGACATTAGATCAAGGGCAAACACAACAAGGGATTGGACTTGAGCACATGATAAAAGCGAGAGTACACAAGGGAGGGGTGAGGATAGGTAAGACACCTAAAAAACTAGCCAGCATTTGTTGCCCTTAATGCAGAGAAACTAAAGCAGGTACCTTAAAAGCAACTGAGGTCAATAGGAAAAGGGGACCAGGAACTAGAGAAAAGGTTAGATCAAAAAGAATTAACCTAGAAGGTAACACACACGCACAGGAAATCAATGTGAGTGAATGCCCTGTATAGCTATCCTTATCTCAACCAGCAAAAACCCCTGTTCCTTCCTATTATTGCTTATATTCTCTCTACAACAAAATTAGAAATAAGGGCAAAATAGTTTCTGCTGGGTATTGAGGGGGTGGGGGGAAAGGGAGGGGGCAGAGTGGGTGGTAAGGGAGGGGCTGGGGGCAGGGGGGAGAAATGACCCAAGCCTTGTATGCACATATGAATAATAAAAGAAAAAAAAGATTAAAAATTGTAAACTTCACAATTTTAAAAGAAGAAAGGCAAATTTGGCCTCAATGAAAGTCCAGATGCAGTGCCTGTGTTCTCAACAATACCTCCTAAATTCTCAGTCTATATTATATTCAGGAAGGGAGCTGCTCTTGCTGACTAAATTTTTAGATAACTCCTAGGTTGTCAATTGAAGATATTTTGTGTGGGTGTTTACTGACAAAGGTTTGCTATTTAATCACACTGGTTTGGTTTACAGTCTTTCCTCTGTGCCAGTCAACACTGCATAAATAGTGTGCTACTGGATTATTTGTCATATGGTTGATGATCTGCATGGTTCCCTTAGAAAATGGAAAGATTAAAGAACGGAAGAAGGGCTTATTGTGTTACAGGGTTAGAGGCAATTTTCTGTACTGTATGATTTAGTGGCATAGGAAACCAACCCTCCCACATGTATTTTCCTGACATTCTTTTAAAATAATGCACTGATCTTTGCATAAGTTGTGTAAATGACAACAGACTTTCTTGAAACAGGTTTTAATAAAAGGAAGAAAAACCAACATGATTATATATATTGTTGACCAACTTGGCAGTGATGACAGTTTTGCTAGAAGCCCCGCTTTATAAAAAGAAGTAAAAAAATGATTTTTTTCCCCCAGAGATGTGAGGTTCAGGGTTTAAAAAAAAAAAAAAGAATAAGTACTGGATGTTTTACTTGTTTTCTTCCATAGGTTAATTTAGAGCTTCTTTTTCTCTCTTTTTCAGAAGTCTATCTGAAATATAAAAATCTTTCTCTGTTTTTTCAGCCTGTGCTGGTCATAGAAGGGGCTGAGTTTCTTATTTGTGCTTTGTTCCTCCAAGTCATGGTCTTTCATTTTTGTTTTGGGACATCTCAACTTGAGTCAGCTTGAGTTAGACCCATCTTACTGGATATTATCCACATTATCAGCTGCATCCCACAATCTAGTATCTAAGAGTTGGGCCATCCTCTGTCTCTCATTCTTGGCCATTGCTATTTTGTAAATGTGTCCTTTAAGGTTCACATGTTGGAAACTTAATCCCCAGTGCAACAGTGTTGGGAGGTCAAGTCTAATAGAAGGTGATTATATCACGAGAATTCTGCCTTCCCAAATAAATCAATGCCATTATCATATGAGTGGGTTCCTGATAAAGTGATGAATTTGGCCCCTATTCATATTCATATTCTCTCTCTCTCTCTCCTTTCTCTCTTTTCTTTTTCTCTCTCTCACCTTCCATTGTGGAGCATTGCAATAAGAAGGCCCTTGCCAATAAGGACTGTTTTACCTTGGACTTCCCAGCCTTCAGAATTGTAAAAAATAAATCTCTGTTCTTTATAAATTATCCAGGTATTTCATTAGAGCAGCACAAAACATATCAAGACAACTGTTAAGAATAAAAACTCACACTTTTCCTGGTCCTCACTTTCTTATTCTTCTTGCTTGTTCATGTTCTTTCTCTTCTGTTGAAATTTTATTAGCATATTTTCTCTCTGTTCATTGAAGGTTTGCCTCTGGGAGACTAGACAAGTGTAAACTAGTTTTGGAGTTAAGTTGTATTTGTTTTGCTTTAGCATGGGCAAGCACACTATCATGTGGTAGGTGTCTACATGAATGATCATATAACTTAATTGAAAGCTTTCTATACAGAGTTTGATTACATTTTGATAAAGTATTAACAGTGGCATGGGTCCTACAGATAGTGTGGGAAAAGCTCAGGATTTGGCAGGAAGGGGTCTTGTGTTAAATTATCCTTGAAACATCTAGGTTCAAGTGGATAAAATCTACTCAGAATGTCTGGGCAGAACTTCCCCAGTTTCTCTCAGATTTCTGTGCGGAAGGTCACAGTACTTCCTGCCATCTTCTTCTGGTAGTCCTTGTCAAACTCTTCATTTTGAGCCACAGTAAAATAGTTCTTCCAGTCCCCAGGAATCCCTGAAACAAGGCAATCTCTCAGGGAATGGTGCAGACATAGAGGGAGGAGTGAAGATGTACCCTAAGGACCTCTACAAGGTGGGCAGACACAGTAAGCTACCTCTCTAAACCTGTATAGTAGTGCTACTGGCAAGAGTCAGCAATGTATCATGGAAAATCAAAGTAGACTATGGGACCACCAAGTCTCATTTGGAACCCTAGGATGTAAATCTCACCTACCTTTCCTCATAAAAGGGGAGATGGAGTGATCCATGAGGCTGGCAGGTAAAGTGGTATAATTGGCCATTGGGTTTTGCTTCATTACATCAAAGGAGGTATGATAGATGATTTTATTCAGAACTTCCTCTGATACATCTTTCTCCAGGAACTTCAGTATCTTCTCAATTTCCCTCTTTGGGTCCTGTATGTGGAACATTTACACAAAACAAATAATTTTGGGAGTTCCATTAGGGATGATGTTCTGTTTGGACAAACAGTGGGGAAGGCTGTGTTAAGGGATCGATTTAAACATCTCCAACAAATATTTATACTAGTGCAAGGCATTGTCTGTTACAGATGCTGTGCCAACAGGAAGGTCAGGACTGTTCTGCTATCACATGGGTTACCCTGAAGGAGGAGAAAATCAGATGTATAACAACCACAGCAATGGCAGTTCCCAGTCAAGAAAGTGCATGCTTCCTGTCTCTAGAGGGAGCATCAGGAGGCCTGGTGGAAGGAACCATGGCATGTCCTGTGGGGGATCAGTGAAGGTTGTGTAACACAGGGGCCATGTTAGTTAGTATGACTATAGTATCTGGGCTATTACAGATGGTCTGTGAGTTAACAGAAGGTCAATAAGAGGATGAATAAAAAGGTCTTAAGTTGATTTAGAAATGTGAATCCTTGCACCATACTTCTTTCACAAGAGATGCAAAAAGAGAAAGTGCTATAGCTTTTGATTAAATCGCATAGGATTTCTTAGCATTGGCATAGGAGGTAGTTTTGTAACTTGAGGACACTAATGCACAGGGTTGTGAGAGTGTATCTGTGGTTCACTCATCCCCATTGAAAGGGAGAAGTGAGTTCACCATTCCAATGTGTGGGACTAATTTTGTCATTATTTTTATGGACTAAAACTCAGTGATGGGAGTTTTGAGAGGGGGAAGGAGGCTAAATTTCTACAACACAACAATGTTCACTTTACAAATAGAATTGCATAAATCTTTCCAGTAATCTCATGAGATAGCTATGATACCATTTTGTAGGTGAAGAAACATGGCTCATAAGTTTCAGGATCCAATAAGTTGAATTGACTATAAAGTGTATGCTATTTCCTGAGAAAGAAAGGTCTGGAAACTGTGAGCTGGGCAAAAAGCACAATTAGAGCCCCAAACAAATGGTTAGAGGGTCTATGATGAAACTAATTTGGAATGAGAGTCATGGAGAGAAAGGGAGGATGTGCCTTGAAGTTTCTTCTGTGGGCAAGCGCACATGCCAGAATCCTCACTGAGATCTGTCACATCTGAGAATGTGGGAGATGGGATGGAAATCATGCTGCTTCTCACCTCCTTCATGTCCTCATAGAAGAGGTAGAGGATGCGGTGCTGGTCCTTCATGTCCCACCATCCCTTTACATGGTCATACCAAGAGCCCCAGAGCACTGAGGAGGAGAGCAATGGGACATCAATGTCAACTTAAAGCTCACCAAATGAACATGGTGTCCCAAATAAAAGAGGATGTTTAATAAATACTACCCAAACCAAAGATTCTGAGCAGAATTCTTATTTGCAGAAGGTGGGTTTTATTCAAAAGAATTTAGTGAGATGATAGATATTCTGAATTCTTTAGTTTATATTTCCATCCTTGAACCTACTCCTCAAGGAAGGACTGTCTTATGGCCAGGGAATCAAAATTTTTATTTTCCACATGGTGGAAATCAGTGTCATGCCACTGATATTGTTTCTTTTGAAAAGACTTTCACTTGGAAAAACTACAATTATCAGGTATTTGGGTACCTTTGCTCCCTCTGATGATAAATGGGAGGGAGAAAGGTGGCTGGGTATCTTTCATTGGCCCTGTCAACTCTACCCTGCCCAGTGTGACTGGTACAGACTGTGTCACTGGGCACTGTGTTCCCAGGTTTAGAGCTGGACTTAGCTGCAGAGGCATTGGAAGACTTTGAAGGCAGGAGGAGAGGGAGAAGGTTGCATTTATTTTTCTGATGCCCTCCCTATCAGCTCATTGCTGCTGCCACCCTCCCTGTTGACTGCTGCCTATATCAAAGCCCTCATCTTCTGTCAAGGGACTCTCTCCTAACTTGGGGGCTGGTGCTAGCCCAGGATACTGTACTAACCCTCACTGATTTCCCCAAAATCTTCCAGTAGATAGTTCTTTCATCAAAGTCTTCCCAGGTAACCTAGTCTGAGTGTATCATCTATTTCTTTGTAGATCTTAATGAAAATAATTGTGCAATGAAAAATCTTTTCTGATAGTAGTAGAGAAGTGAGTAAGGAAATAGGAACCCACAGTTATTTTTCACTCACCTTTTCCAGCTTTGAATGTTTCAATGTATTCTTCCCATGTACCAGGGTCAGGCACCATTTTATTCATCCTGGAGAAATGGTAGTAGGACACTAGACAGTCCTTAGCATTTCTAGCCACATAGATAATCTGGAATTAGCCAGCAAAGGGAGTGAGATGCAGAGAGAAAACGAGACAGAAAAGCATCATTATTTACTACAGAGGCCCATTTTCCTTAGAAAGCCTCATATATAATCTTGGGCTACACCATTGGAGTAATTGGATGTGTATGTGTTCTCTACCATGAAGACGAACATCACTTCTAGTTTTCCCATAAACAATTCTGATTTATAGCTGTGGTCTTAGAATTATTATTAAAAGCAACCCTTTCCTGTCTTAGAACTATCCTGGTTTGCATGGTATGTCCTGTACTCACATTAACTTAATTTGGAGAATGAGGAGGCCACCCATGGTGTTCTAGTCCATTCAAGCTGCTCTAACAAAATGCCATAAACTGGGTGCCTTATAAGCAACAGAATTTACTTCTCACTGTTCTACAGGTGAGGTTGTCCAATGTGAAGGTGCTAGCAGTTTCACTATCTGCTGAGGGCCCTGCTTCCTCACAGATAACTGTATCTTATAAGAGTCCTAATCCCATTCATGAAGGCTTCACCCTCATGGCATGATCAACTGCCAACCTCCATGCCCCCAACCTTCTATTTCTACCAATTTAGGTGTTAGAATTTCAACATCTGAATTTTGAGGGGGAGGACATAATACGCAGTTCATGGGACATGGCATTTTCCAATATGTGAAAGAAGGTCCTCCCTGGCTTTATTTAATCAAGGAATCTAATTAGGTTATGAAATGGGAGGAGCTAAGGCAGTGAGCCATCTAGTCTCATTTCCGCAAGATGAATTCCAGTCTTACAGATGAATTATCACTCTTTTCATTTGCTGATAAGATTGAAGGACCTTTGGGGTAGTACTAAGTCCTGTTTTGGAGCTATTTGTTATAGTGTCTTTGCATAGGGAAGGCAGTGGTGTGGTCTGGCACTTGGCTTCTTGTCTTGCTGTCCTCCTCCTCCCTTTATTGCCCTGGCTCCGATTCCAGCTGTGTTGCTGTGTACATTCTCAGAAGGGTTGGGGAGGAAGGACACTGCTATGGTTTGATTTGGGTAGGGTTTCCCAAAGGTCCATATGTAAAGGTTTGATCCCCAGGGTGCTGCTGTGGATCTTTAAGAGGTGGGGCCTAATGGAAATCCCTAGGTTACTGGGGGTTTGCCTTCCAACAGGATTGTAGAATCTTGATTTTTTCCTCTCCCCCTCTTTCTTTTTCCTGGTTTGAGATATGACCACTCACTCTGACATGCATTCCTGCCATGATATGCTGCTCTCATCAGAGGCTTAACCAAAGGACTTCCCAATTTTGGACTTGTACCTCCATAAGCTAAAATTAACTTATCTTTACTTCATAAGTAGTTTGTGTCAGGTATTTTATTGTAGTAATGCAAAGTTGACAAGCACATTAGTGAATTCTCAAGCATTTTTGTCCAGTGTCTCACTTATTCAACAGTACTTTTGTATCCACATAGCCAATCACCCCGTTGTGGTTTCCTTTTGGTGAATTATCTGAGCTTTTGCATTCCCAATTCCCAATTGCATGTCCTCCATTGCTGTCTCTGTCCTGCATGACTGTTTCTCTGTCCCCATTCTTGCTTCTGTATTTCTGTGTAATATTCATGAAAGCCTTTAGGAAACCAAAAAGTATGAGGCAACTGAAAAGTGGGATTATTGTGTAAATACATTTTGTATAATATTTAAAAATTATTATGTTGGTTATTTTCTTCATGACCTGAGTAACTGGAAACAAGGGAAGTCTGGAGTTAGACAGGGAACTTACTAAAATGATGTGGAGTCCAATGTCAAGTACAATTTCGGAGTCTGATGATCTGTATTATTAGCTTGCAATTGCTACTGTAACAAATTATCACAAATGGAGTGACTAAAAGCACCATAGATTTATTCTCCTTCCATTCTGGAGGCCAGGTTTCACTGGGTTAAAGGCAAGGTGTCAGCAGGGCTGACTCCTGCTGATGATTCTAGGGGAGAATTTATTTCCTTATAAAGAATAAGCATCTGAGGCCACCTGCATTCCTTAGCTCTTGATTTTTTTCCCAGAATCATTCTATCTTCTTGTTTGGCTGTCACATCTCCCATTTCCTTCTTTGATCTGCTTGCTTCCCTTTTATGAAGACTCTCGTCTTGAATTCTAGAGACCAGATAATCCAGGATAATCACCTAGTCTCAACTCCTTAACTTAGTACAACCTGCAAGATCCACTCATAATAGTAGCATTCCCAGGTTCTGTTGAATAGTATGTAGATATCACTGAGCAACCACTGTTCAGCCTCCCATGCCATCATAAAATGGGAGGTTTGGATTAAGCTCTCGAAGATCATTCACTATGCAAATAATTCACAGGTGTACGTGGATAAAGGGAAGGGCTGCCGTTGAGATCTTTGCATCTGATTTTACAAAAAGAAGGTGTTAGTATGATGATTGACCAAGTTCCTGTGGGTATGTCTTCTGATACCAGGTCTACAAGATTTGGTAAAAATACTGATTTTTGAGCAGTAAAAGTAACATAATGAACAAGGTATCTATTTGCCAGAATAAACCAAAAAGTTTTCACAGGTCAAGGTAGACAGTGTATAACCCCAAGTCAGAAATGAGATAGTATTGGGATACATGGAATTCTATTTAGTTGTATTGTACTTTATTTGGACCTTGAGAGCTTGTTTGTTTGGAGGTTCTAGCAGGGGGGCGCAGCTACTCGTATACCCTTGACCGAAAAAAGGTCCTCCCCTGTTGGGGATGGTCATCCTCTTCAACCAAGTGCACAGCTTCGGGAGGGACGCACATGGAGTGGTGAGGGAGGAAGGGGACACCCACCTAGCCAGCCAGATCAGCCGAATCAACCCTGGCGATCAATGGGGTGACACATGTCACAGCCAGATCGCCCTCACATCCTGTACTTTATTTGGAAAGAAAAGATAAGCAGGGTAAAGAATTGGTGAATGATGGAAACCCAGAAAAAATAATCAAGAGTAGTTGCTTGCATTTTGCATTAGAGCACTGCACTGAGACAAGAATGTCTTGGCTAACCAGACTGGACTATTATGGTTTCCTTGGTAAATACAGTCCAGAAGGTAAAAGAGTCTGCAGCTGTTTCAACTGTAAAATACTTGAGAACATCAACTCACTCTCTCAGAAATCTTCAGATAACTGGGCTTCCAGAAAAACTTTCCCTCAAGAAGATGTGGTAGTCCAGCTGGTATAAGCGTTTGATTCTGCTGGACGGATTTACTTCTTATTGCAATCATTTAAGCTGAAATTTGGTTTGTATTCCATATTTTAGTGATTTCAAGACTTGCTGGTAGCCAGCCCATGGAACCTTCTCCAAAATAGATCATATCCTAGGGCACAAAGCAAGCCTCAGCAAATATAAGAAAATAGAAATTATACCATGCATTCTATCTGATCACAATGCAATAAAACTAGAACTCAACAACAAAAGTAAACACAAAAATCATGCAAACAGCTGGAAACTGAATAACTCATTGCTTAATGAACAATGGGTCATTGATGACATAAAAGAGGAAATTAAAAAGATCCTGGAAGACAATGAAAATGAAAACACAACCTACCCAGAACCTATGGGACACAGCAAAGGCAGTCCTGAGAGGAAAGTTTATAGCCATGAGTGCATATATTAAAAAGACTGAAAGATCCCAAATCAATGACCTAATGATACATCTCAAACTCCTAGAAAAACAAGAACAAGCAAATCCCAAAACAAATAGAAGGAGAGAAATAATAAAAATAAGAGCTGAAATCAATGAAATAGAAACCAAAAAAACCATACAAAGAATTAATGAAACAAAAAGTTGGTTCTTTGAAAAAATAAACAAGATCACAGACCCTGGCAAACCTGACTAAAATGAGGAGAGAAAAAACCCAAATTAGTAAGAATCAGGAATGCAAAAGGGAGATAACAACAAACACCATGGAAGTCCAGGAAATCATCAGAGACTACTTTGAGAACCTATATTCAAATAAATTTGAAAATCTTAAAGAAATGGACAGATTTCTAGATACATATGATCATCCAAAACTGAACCAAGAGGACATTAATCACCTGAATAGATCTATAACACAAAATGAAATTGAAGCAGCAATCAAGAGTCTCCCAAAAAGAAAAGTCCAGGACCTGATGGATTCTCTGCTGAATTCTATCAGACCTTTAAAGAAGAACTGATACCAACCCTCCTTAAACTGTTCCATGAAATAGAAAGGGAAGGAAAACTGCCTAACACATTTTATGAAGCCAGTATTACACTTATCCCAAACCAGGCAAAGACACCTCCAAAAAGGAGAACTATAGGCCAATCTCCTTAATGAACATTGATGCAAAAATCCTCAATAAAATAATGGCAAACCAAATTCAACAACACATCAAAAAGATCATTCACCATGACCAAGTAGGCTTCATCCCAGGAATGCAGGGGTGGTTCAACATATGAAAATCAATAAATAATAAACCACATTAACAGAAGCAAAGACAAAAACCACTTGATCATCTCAATAGATGCAGAAAAAGCCTTTGATAAGATCCAACACCATTTCATGATAAAAGCTCTAAGAAAACTAGGAATAGAAGGAAAGTACCTCAACATTATAAAAGCTATATATGACAAACCTACAGCCAGCATTATACTTAATGGAGAAAAACTGAAACCATTCCTCTAAAATCAGGAACTAGACAAGGATGCCCACTATCTCCACTCCTATTCAACATAGTACTGGAATTCCTAGCCAGAGCAATTAGGCAAGAAAGGAAAATAAAAGGAATACAAATAGGTAAAGAACTGTCAAAATATCCCTATTTGCAGATGACATGATCCTATACCTTAAAGACCCAAAAAACTCTACTCAGAAGCTTCTAGACATCATCAATAGCTATAGCAAGGTAGCAGGATATAAAATCAACATAGAAAAATCATTAGCATTTCTATAAACTAATAATGAACAAACTGAAAAGAATATATGAAAAAATTCCATTTACAATAGCCTCAAAAAAAATCAAATACCTAGGTGTAAACCTAACAAAGATGTGAATGACCTCTACAAGGAAAACTATAAACTTCTGAAGAAAGAGATTGAGGAAGACTATAGAAAGTGGAGAGATCTCCCATGCTCATGGATTGGTAGAATCAACATAGTAAAAATGTCTATACTCCCAAAAGTAATCTACATGTTTAATGCAATTCCATCAAAATTCCAATGACATTCATTAAAGAGATTGAAAAATCTACTGTTAAATTTATATGGAAACACAAGAGGCCACGAATAGCCAAGGCAATACTCAGTCAAAAGAACAATGCTGGAGGTATCACATACCTGACTTCAAACTATATTACAAAGCAATAACAATAAAACAGCATGGTACTGGCACAAAAACAGACATGAAGACCAGTGGAACAGAATAGAGGACCCTGATATGAAGCCACACTATAACCAACTTGTCTTTGACAAAGGAGCTAAAAATATACGATGGAGAAAAGCAGCCTCTTCAACAAAAACTGCTGGGAAAACTGGTTAGCAGTCTGCAAAAAACTGAAACTAGATCCATGTATATCACCCTATACCAATATTAACTCAAAATGGATCAAGGATCTTAATATCAGACCCCAAACTCTAAAGTTGATACAGGAAAGAGTAGGAAATACTCTGGAATTAGTAGGTATAGGTAAGAACTTTCTCAATGGAACCCCTGCAGCACAGCAACTAAGAGATAGCATATAAATGGGACTTCATAAAACTAAAAAGCTCTGTTCATCAAAAGAAATGGTCTCTAAACTGAAGAGAACACCCACAGAGTGGGAGAAAATATTTCCAGCTTCACATCAGACAAAGGACTGATAACCAGAATATATAGGGAACTTAAAAAACTAAAATTCTCCCAAAACTAATGAACCAATAAAGAAATGGGCAAGTGAACTAAACAGAACTTTCTCAAAAGAAGAAATTCAAATGGCCAAAAAACATGAAAAAATGCTCACCATCTCTAGCAAAAAGGAAATGCAAATTAAAAAACACTAAGATTCCACCTCACGCCTGTTAAATAGCCATCATGCGGGGAAAAAGGAACCTCTTACTGCTGGTGGGAATGTAAACTAGTACAACCACTCTGGAAAAAAATTTGGAGGCTACTTAAAAAGCTAACATTGATCTACCATTTGATCCAGCAATACCACTCTTGGGGATATACCCAAAAGTGTGACACAGGTTACTCCAGAGGCACCTGCACACCCATGTTTATTGCGGCACTATTCACAATAGCCAAGTTATGGAAACAGCCAAGATGCCCCACTACTGACATGATTAAAGAAAATGTGGTATCTATACACAATGGAATTTTATGCAGCCATGAAGAAGAACGAAATGTTATCATTTGCTGGTAAATGGATGGAATTGGAGAACATCATTCTGAGTGAGGTTAGCCTGGCCCAAAAGACCAAAAATCGTATGTTCTCCCTCATATGCGACATTAGATCAAGGGCAAACACAACAAGGGGTCTGGACTTGTGATCAATATGATAAAAGCGAGAGCACACCAAGGGAGGTAGGGATAGGTAGATACCTAAAAAACTAGATAATTTGTTGCCCTCAACACAGAGAAAACTAAAGCAGATCTTTAAAAGCAACTGAGGCCAATAGGAAAGGGCCCAGGAAACTAGAGAAAAGATTAGTTCAAGAAGAATTAACCTAGAAGGTAACACACGCACAGGAAATCAATGCGCGTCAACTCCCTGTATAGCTATCCTTATTTCAACTAGCAAAAACCCTTGGTCCTTCCTATTATTGCTTATACTCTCTTTTCAACAAAATTAGAGATAAGGGCAAAATAGTTTCTGCCAGGTATCGAGGGGGTAGGGAGGAAGAGGGATGGGGTGGGGGGGGTAAGGGAGGGGGTGGGGAAATGTGGGAGAAATGACCCAAACATTGTATGCACATATGACTAAAATAAAAATTAAAAAAAAAGAAAAAAAGAAAAGACTTGCTGGTGTAGCAAATATTAAGGGAAGCAACACTACTCTCCTCATGTGTTGTCTTTTTGTAGGGAAAGACAATATCGTATTTCTGGTTTGTGACTGTGTGGGAACATAAATATGCTTTGGGAGGCTCTAGTGAGAACTATCGCCCCGCTAGTACATTCAGTGTACACAGCTTTTACAGGATCTGAATTAGCAAGTGTCAAAATAAAAAAAATTAATGGAGTGAATCAAGGTACCTGGGGAGCAATCTTGCTTTCATGAAGATATGCTTCCTCTAAAGGTGGATCAAGTTTCTAACAACATGGACAAAAGTCGATTCTGCTCATCCTGAAAGTAAAACAGGATCAGACCAAGTTGATGATGTCTCCATTGGAACGCAGTAGGTACCATGAGCATGGCTGATTTGGGTCTCTGGCTGTTTTTTTTTTGGGGGGGAAAAAAAAAAGTGTTGATTGACAGATGACCTCAGCTGCTGTCTCTTCTGAAAAATACCTTCCAGTATTAGGTGAGGTCAGAACTTCTCAAAGGCTTGCTCTTGTTTGTGAGTAGCCTAGAAGGGACATCTGATGCAGGCATGGGCTCTCTGATGGCTGGCCTTTGCTAGAGGATTATCACAGCCTGACTGAGCCTTGTTCCATGACTCTGTACTGCAGCCGCTGAGTCTCCCCTGATGCCTTCCTTGCCTTTCCCATCAAGGGGTCAGACCTTGGTCCATGGTCTTAAGGCTCTCCATTCTCCTTGTCCTTGTTCTACTTTCCTCTCACGGATCTCTTTCACAATCTAGTTCCTCTTTGCCCTTCCTTCTTGGAGGACCAAATTAGATCCCAGTCTTTCTAGGACCATATTTTGCTTTGTTTTCTTGATCAATCCTTTAGTGTGAACATCTTGGTAAAAAGTCAAAAATAATTTTCCGCTGGAAACTTCCCTGTAACCAAGGATAATATTATTGATGGAAAGCGTCATAAATTCAAATGGAGTATGTGGTAATGGCAAACCATCTGTCCCTGGAATTCTAACCAGCTCCCTTCTGTAATCAGCACCTGGGGGGCTTGAGAGAACTTGGCTTTTCTTACCTTTGCATTTTTTTCTTTCCAGAAGAGAGGTGGCAGATCTGAAAAGGCAGACTGGATCCTTCATAGCTCCTTCTAGGTAGAAAGGCAATCTTGTTAGCCAGATCTAGACCTGGGAAATAAGGCCACACCATCAGCTACCTGGATCCAATGCTGTGTGGCAAACACTGAGACTCATCTGGACCAAGGGCAGCTCTATGGCCCTAGCAGCTTTTTTTTTTTTTTATGGTAACTGGGGTTTGAACTGAGGGCCTCTTGCTTCCTGGGCACATGCTCTACCACTTGAGCCACACCCCCACTCTTTTTTTTTTTTTGCTTTAGATGTTTTTCAGATAGGGTCTCATGCTTTTTGCCTGAAACTGACATTGGACCTACCATGATCCTCTTACCTATGCTTCAAAAGTAGCTGGGATTATTAGTGTGTACCACGACATATGTTTTATTGGTTGAGATAGTTCTCACTAACTTTTTGTCCCAGCTGCTTCCAACCTCCTGATTGCTGCCTCCTGAATAGCTGGGATTGTAGGCATGAGCCACTGTGCCCAATTCAGAATCTCTGTCTAAAGAACTTCAGTCTTTGTTTTGATTTTTTACTTGCAAGGCCAAGAATCACAATAGCTTCTGTCATGTGTCAGCAGTGCTCGCTTCTGGAATATATTTTTAACTGAAAAACTGAGTTTTACAGGGGTCCAGTCATTTTTCTACATTAGTAAATGTGACTTAGTGGATTGGAAATCAGTAAGTCTGTGGGCATGGGGAACCACAGAGGAGAAGCTCTGTAAAAGACAGTAGGGAGGCAAGGCAAGAAGACTTAGAAAAACAGACACAATAATTCCTGGAAATGGAAAATCTAGTGCTAAAACACTAGATACAGTGAGGGACTAGCCATGCACTACATTGATCTCAGGCAAGTGAGGCAGTAGCCACAGTGTTGAGAACATGACTTCTGATGAGAATTAGTATGTGGACAAGAGAGGTGCTCCTTGGAGACATGGAGGTGAGGGGAGAGAATGAAGTAAGAGGGAGAAAATGAAAGTAAAGATCCTGTAGAAATGAAAGAAAAGCAAAGTATGCCCATTCTTCCTTCTCGCATCACCAGTACCATCCACAGACAAACTATATAGAGGAAGGAAGGCAATGCTGACAGGAGAGGGTGCTATCAAACCAGGGATGATGCCATTAAATGAATATAAATAGGTACCAAACTACTCTCAAAGTCAGAAAAGGCAAATCAAAGACTTAAACCTCCCCAAACCAACCACAAAGCTGAACAAAACATTTGGGAATTAAAAAGTCTTAAGACAGGAATATGAGATTAAGAACAAAAATGGGGGGAACAAAAGCTGGGTGCCAGTGGCTCATGCCTATAATTCTAGCTACTCAGAAGGAAGAGATCAGGAGGACTGAGGTCCAAAGCCAGGCCAGACAAATAGTTATAAGACCCTATCTTAAAAATAGTCAACACACAAAAAAGGGCTGATGGGATGGTTCAAATGCTAGAGCACCTGCCAGCAAGTGTGAGGTCCCAAGTTCAAACCCCAGTACCACCAGAAAATAAAAAAAGGAAAAAAAGAGAAAAGATTTGGTTGATTTGATTGAATGCCATAAAGAAATAAAAGAAAGACGAGATAACAGAAGAATGAAAATTTAATAAAAAGTCATTGAAGGAAAGCAAGAAAATGACACTGAGATAAAGAAGTGAAAAGAAAGTGGCTGACATACAAGACAGGTAGAGAAGGTACAACATAGGAATAAACTGGTGGGATAGAGCTAATGTGTACGCTTATAATCTGTACAAATTTTTCATAAAGAAGACTTCAATTTACATCTTAACCATAGGTACCAGAGACTGTTCATTGATCATGATCAATTCTGAAACACAATGAAGCAATTATACTTTAATAAAAGGAAAAATTCTAGGGCTTCCAGGCAAAAGTTGAAATAATTCATAAAGGCAAGAGAATAAGACTGGCATCGGATGTCTCAAAAGATGGCATAAAAAGCAAGGAAACAGTGACAGAAAACACAGCACACACATGCCCTTCCCAATCTGCTAGAATTAGTTTCATTCATCCAAGAGATGGCCCACAAACTTTATCAAAAGCACTGATGGGTAATATTTCATGTTATTTAACATCAGAACTAGAAGTAATAAGGGAGAGATCATGGGCTGGAAAATAATGTGTAAGTCTTACAAATTCAAATGAAATACAAAGCATACAACTTACAACTTCGAATAAGAATATTGGCTGCTGTGTAAGTAATAGAGGGAGTCAAAGAATTACTTTGAAGCTAGCAGATCAGATTTAAAAGGTGAAGTAAGAGAAGCGGATTAGGCCTTGTAAAAGGTAATGACTAGGAAAAAAGATGGAAGTTTCCTAAATACTATTGCCCCGAAAACAAAAAACAAAACAAAACAAAATCAAGCATCCTACACACAAAAAAGAAAAATAAAAGCATATACTAAAGTAACACAGTAAATATTACTTTAGTACACATAATTTCAGCACATGAAATTGGTGACTATGGTGATAAACATCAGTCATACCAATTAATTGAATGGGCTTAAGTTATCTATTTAGATTTTCAAATTGGCTCATAAAAGAAAACAACAACAAAGACCTCCTGAACACAATGATTATTAAAGGCTAAAAGTACGGATGTATAGCATCAAATGGAAACTATATAAAACTTGGATTGTGATACTGTCAGATAAAGTAGGGTTCAACTCCCAAAGCATCATATGAGACAAAGAACTTTATAATGCTAAAGACCCCATTATATCACCAAGATATAATAACCATAAATAATCAGTAGTTACCAAATAAACAAGTAACCATTTATAAAAAATAGAAATCACAGGAGAGGAAGAAGAATGGAACCACCTTAATAATAGAATAATGTTCTAGAATTTGTGTGGAAATGCAAGGACACTAGAATAGGTAAATATTGAAAAGGAAGAAAAACTTGGGAAGACTTACCAAATTCACTTAAAAATTTATAAAACTACAAGATATTAAAGCTGATATTCTATTGTAGTGTCAGCATTCAGATAGATATGTAACTAAAAGAAGGATAATAGAAAATCCAGAAATACACCCATCCATAAACTGTTAATTCATGTTGGGAAAAGGATCAAGGCAATTTCAATGGGAAAAAAGATAAACTTTCAACAACTGTTGCTAGAATAAACAGTCCCATCAATAATATGTTTTGAATACATATTAGGTCTTACTATTTTACAAATGAAGAAACATTAGGTTTTGAGAAACTTTATAACCTGTTCTTGATCACTCAGATATTCCACCTGGATGGTTTGATTTCTAATCTATACCTTCTTTCTACAGGGTTATCTTCTATTCCAAAAGCAACTGTTTACTTTATAAAATGTGTCCTTTACTCCTAACTTAATTATGAACTCTTCAAGGGTGCGTCTATGTCTTATTTTTCTTTGTATATTTAGTGTGATATTTTGGTTGATAATGTGACCATATATAATTTAGCTTGATTCTTTGGTAGACATGTTATAGATAAAATATATTTGAAGACTATCTCTCATGAGGTGGTAGCAGACTGACACAGGAGTGTGACATCTTTTTTTTTTTTGGCAGTACTGAAGTTTGAACTTAGGGCTTTCTAGGCCTTAAGCTGTTTCTATCCCTTGACCCATTTATTTAGTTATTTTACAGATAGGGTCTTCTGTTTTTGTCCAGGACTGGCCTTGGACTGTGATCCTCCTAAATGTGCCTCCCACATAACTTGGATTATAGGCACGTACTGCCATGCCTGGCTAGTATTACCACATCTTAATATTAAAATATGTTTTTATTTTTAATTAACATAATATTTGTACATATTTATAGGGCATGTTTATATTGTGTGTTTATTATATAGTGCATTCCATGTGTATAATGTATAGTCATAAAGTTGGAGCAATTAGCATTTCTGTTTCCTTAAATATTTACCATTTCTTTGTGTTGTGAATGATTGAACACCTTTCTTTTAGTTTGTTATAAAATAATAATGAAATTGCTATATATATTATAATCACCCTACTGTGCTATAGAATACTAGAATTTATTCCTCCTTTCTAACTTCATGTTGCTACTTCTTAATCCAACCTTCCTCTAGCCTACCTTCCTAACCTCTAGTGACTGTAACCTCTATTCTACTCTGTACTTCTATAAAACCAATTTTTTAGCTTCTACATATAATCAAGAACACTCAGTATTTGTCTTTCTGTATCTGGCTTATCTCAAGTAACATAGTGTCCTTCAGTTTTATCCAGGTTGTTGCAAATGACAGAATTTACCTCATTTTGATGTCTGAATATAATTTCATTTGTTTATGTACCTTGAAATGTAGTTCTTGATCACCGGATGCTATTGGTTTTTTAGTCAGCTTTCTGTCCCTATATCAAATACCTGAGATAGTCAGTTAAAAAGAGGAAAGGTTTGTGTTGGCTCACAGTTTTGACAGTTCAAGTTCATAATCCATGGCTTTGTCACTTTGGGTCTAGGGTGAGGCAGTAGATCATAGTGGAATGTGTAATGGAGCAAAACCATTCACCTTGTGGCCAGAAAGTATGACAGAGAGATGACAGGGCTGGGGTCTCACTATTTTCTTCAAGGGTACATCACTAAATACTTCCTGCTTAGGCCCCATCTTGTAAAGGCTCACCACCTCTCACTAGCTCCTTCTGGGAGGAAGTCTTTACCATCCAGACTTTTGGAGACAATTAAGATCCAAACTATTAACACCTGCCCTCACTGAGTTATACATTCATGGTCACTCAAATGCTCAAACAGTAGCAAGGAATATGTACCTGATGCTGTCAAATCCTAGGAAAGAAATTTGGGAGTCTTTTCCCCAGTTGTTTTGACTTGGACCACTTTTACACTTCTGTCCTGTTCCATTTGGAAATGTTTTCTGGAAGGCAGATTGTAGAAATGATTTTGTTTTCAGATAAAACTGACCCTACACAAAGATTACAACCCCCTGGGTCCCAGTTGGGCAAACTTACCAGAGTTGAGGGGTGGAGGCAATGTCCACTCGATGAAAGGGTGCCGGTCAAAGGTGTTGGCCCGCTGGCACTTCTGTACATCCCCATCATTCTGGATCATGTCTACAATCTCCTGTGTCCAGGTGGTGCCTAAAAACATTTCTTATTGTCAAATCCACCCACTAGTGGCACCATTCAATTCTATTTCCTCGGTCATGTGTGGATTCAGTTAAGTTCACACTTGCCCAGCATAGAGCAGAATCAGCCTACCTGTTAGCATGTGCCACCCAGGATGGGTGGGGTTAGCACTGGTGGCCCTCTGTGCTTACTGTCATCATGTGTTTATGGTCTGGGCTTCCTCGAGACACTTTCTTTTTTTTTTCCCTAGGACTCACCATAGGGTTTTGCATCTCATATAAGTATCTTGACTGATAAATATTGAGCCAGATAAAGGTAGTGAAGATACAAAGTTGAATTAGCCCATGAACCTTCTCTACTCAGTTTAGGATCGTTTTGGAGGAGACATGACTGAGACTACCTCTTGTCTAGCTATCATCCATTCTTCTCTTTCAAATTTCGAGACTCTCATTTTATCAGGGCCTATAGCTTGTATCAAAGACTACATTTTCAGTCTTTCTTGTAGCTAGATGTCACCAGGCCACTCAATTCTGGGAAGCTGTGTTTTTGAAGGGTATACTTGGTCCCTGGTCTCCTCTCTGTTTTCTGACTGCTATAAGGCCCCAAATCAAATTAGCCTAACCTATTTTATTTTGTAAAAGACTCCATCTTGTCCAACAGGAAGGCTGTTTTACAGAAACTGCTTTTCTGAACAGAAGTCGAACCCCATTTGCATCTTGTTAACATGTTTGACCTCATGATGTCATAGAAAATGATGGTACAAGCTAATAAACAACCACTTGGAAAAACATTGAGAAACTGACCACCCCAGCCACTTCTTGGGATAGCTAGCTAAACCAAAAACCAAACCAAAACAAAACATCAGCAATATATTCCTTCTACATCTCAAATGCTTATAAACCCCAGCCCTAACCTCATTCTGGGCCAATATCTCTTAGTATCAGCTCCTTTCTTTTCTTTTCTTTTTCTTTTTTTTTAAAAAAAAATTTAAACAAATTTATTTATAAGAGAAAAACATCTGAACATCAGGTACAGTCAGTTCCATAATTATCCAACAGTATGCATAACTCATTCTAGGAGTACTCTTGTGCAGTTTGTAGAAGAAATTTCATGTGGAACATCAGCTGAACATTTATTAAAATTCATAAAGTCATGTAAGCTGAGTGTGATATAATATGTAATGACCACACAGCAATAAAAATATAGTATCAAATACTACCTACTTTGTGCGTTACAGACTACAAAATAAACAATTTAGGCTCCTTGTTAAAAAATAAAAAATTATTTTTATTATAGCCTCATTTGAAGCATTTTCAGTTCAACATAGCTTTATACATTTTCACTTTCAATAGACAGCCTGGAGTGCCTTCTTAAGTAACTGGAAGTAAAATATATTACTTTTTTCAAAATTTGCACTTTGACACATGTGAATTCAGGTAAGAGAATGAAATCATGCTATGACAAAATCCTGACTGATGATCAGGACTTGGAGAGTTTTCACATTTGGTTAAAGATTTTACATTAGGGAAAAAGAAGAAGTGAGGACATAAAGAACCAACATCATTCTTTTTCAATTAAGCAGTTTAACTTTAGAGAATGGACTCTCCATTTTGATTTCAAAGTGTGTGTCCTGAAGTTGAATTCTTTCCAGTCCAGGGATCTGCCTGTGGCTGTGAGGCAGCACTTAATGATGAAGGAGCAGGAGGAAAGTGTGAGGTAAACTACAGAAATGGTCACATTCCTAGATGGCCTGAGCCCACTCAGAGGTGAAGGGTGGCCAGAACTATCAATATAAAAGAAAAATATGCTCACTGAACTGCACACATGGAGCTTCTAGGATGGTTAACAGTTCTTGACATGCGTTTCTGGTTGTAGTTTACAGTATCTACCTTTACAACCCACTGTGACTCTTCTTTTTCTACTTTGTTCCAAGGATTTCTGCAGCAACTTTCTGAAAACACAGGAAGACAAAGTCTCCTGTTTTGGCTGACACAAAGTGGCTACTAAAACCATTTTTTTGGCAAAATCTTAAGTGTTTCTCAGGTTTTACTGTTCGCATATGCCCCAAATCAATTTTATTGCCCACCAAAGCAATCAGTGGCTATCAGCCTCTTTTCTTTCTTGAAAAGTGAGTAAAACCTTGCTTGTACTTTAATTTTTGCTTTTTGTGAAATCTTTCGCCCTGCCCACAAGCCCCATGGACTTAGACCTAACATTTCTGGTGGCCTGTATTGGGTGATACTCCCCCCGCCACTCAACTGATACCATCATAGGACAAACCTCCATTTCCTTTTGGCATTTAGAGGAAAAGGCATTTCTTGGGACATGATGGCAGTTTTCTGGGTTTTAAAACCCTGATATTGGGTCTGTCATTGTTCTTTAGGTGAGATATGTTCATGGTGGGGGTGCTCTCTTATCAGATCTCTTAACTCAGAATGCTGAAACTCGAGAAGTTCTTCTGGGTCTTTCAGAGTGGGGGATACCTCCTCTGAACTCTGGGCCAAAAGTGTCTTCTCTTTCAAAATTTCATCCCCTCTGCTTCCTTCCAGTTGTCATTATGGGCAACGCTCAATTGGCCTACTAAAGAACCTTCCCTTTGTACTGTCTCCTCAGAAACTGGAAGCACTTGGGCCTGACTGACTTAAAACAAAGGACCTTAATCTACTGTAATGTTGCCTGGCCACAATATAAGTTGCTTAACCAAGAGGTTTTACCTAAAAATGGCTCTTTTAATTTTAATACTAGTCTGCATGTTGAGCTATACTGTCACTGCCTAAACAAATGGTTGGAGGTTCCTTATTCCCAGGCTTTTCTGGCCCTTCTCTTAATACTCGGACCTCTGATGCACCTGTCACATGTTCTTTCTGACTCCCTTTTCTCTCCCTCCTACTTCTGAAGGGCACAAGATTTCCCTCTGGATGTTCCCCTGGCCTATTGACCTCCTATTAAAGTCTCTCAGAATTTCTTCTCCTGTCCTCATCCTCATCTTCCCCTTCCTCCCCTCTCTATCCTTCTCTTCAATCCTTTAGAGACCATGGGTCCCCTACTAATATTGGCTCTTCCTCTGGGACTCCCTCCTCTCAATGTCCTCTATCACCTAACTTTGAAGACAACTTTTTGTCATCTTCTCCTCCATCCTCTCCTGGGATCCTTCTCTCCTCTCATTCCTGTGAGATCTACCAGCTCTGGGAACCCCTTTAGACCTCATACACCTCCCTTCTCTCTACCCTCGTAGAAAAGTGGCAGAAGTGGAGGGAAGTTTCAGAGTTCATGTTCTTTTTTTCCATGTCTGATTTGTCAGAAATTAAAACCAAACTCTCCAAATTACAGACTTTCTGTAAGGACCCCTCTCATTTTACTAAGGAATTTGAATATTTCATCCTTACTATTCATGTCCTTCTAACAACCTGCCTAAATCAAGAAAAAAATAATAGAATTCAAATAAAAGCTAGAAAATATGCAGACAACTTAAATCACTGCCAGGCCAATGAATACATTCTGGAATGCATACAGTGCCTGATAAAGACCCCAGTTGGGACCTCCAGATACTCCAATATGGCACTAATTCCCCTGACTGCTGATATCAAGATCACATGTTGATATGTTTCATAGAGGAAATGAAAAGAGCCACCATCAAACCTGATAATTTTAACAAAGCAATAGAGATTACCCAGGATGCAGATGAAAAGTCTGCGCTGTTCCTTTCCCAATTTTCTCACAACCTCTGTCATTTCACTAATTTAGACCTTGACTGGGTGGAAGGAAAATCTGTTCTGGCCATGAACTTCATCTCCCAGTCAGCCCCTGACATTTGGTGCAAACTGCAAAAATTTGACAAGGCACCAGGCATCCCCGTTTCAGAACTGGTTGATGTGGCTTTTAAAATTGTCAGTGATGGATATGGAGAACAAAGAAAGGCTAAAATAAAGTGAATAAACTTGAAGGAGCAGTCCGAGTCTATCCAACTGATGGTGCTGTCGGTAATGCCATTAGAGGGCAGACTTACTCCTGGCTAGTTGGACAAATCCAATGCCTCTGGCAAGGGCCCCAATGATGGGACTTCCTTCTTCTGTAAGCAGCCTGGCCACTAGAGCAAAGAATGCTCTCAAAGTGACTGCCTCCAGGACCTTGTCCCCAGTGTAAACAAGAAGGACCCTGAAAGAGGGATTGTCCCTTCCTTAAGAAAGGAGGAAATGACTCTCCTCAGGAATCAGGCAGCTTCTTAAGGGAAGCACCTCCAGTTGGCTCATCATGCCTGGGACTTCTGGACACAGGAAATTGATGGGCCCCAGCACTGGACCAGGCTCCAGATTTCACCATCAATATGGCTGAGCCTTTGGTAACTCTTTGTATAACAGGTAAGCCAATTAATCTTATCAGTACTGGAGCTGCTTACTCTGCTCACTCTGAATTTACAGAACCTCTCTCCCCATAATTTACCACCACAGTTGGAGTAGGAAGACAGCCTCTTATGGATCTCCAAACCTCTTTATTAACTTGTGCCCTGGAAGATCAACTCTTTACCCACTCATTCCTAGTTATCCCCAACTACCCAACCACTTCCCTGCATAGGGACATTATTATTAAATTTGGTACTCATGTATCACTGATCTCTAAATCTCCTAACTGACTTGCTTTTTTGGACCCCTCCATATCAGACACTTCTCTTCTCTGCCACCTTTCATTGTTAAGCAAGTTTCTCCTTAATGCCCAATACCTGCATCCAAAAAGCAAAACTGGTTGCCCTGACCTGAGCCTAGCAATTAGGACAGTCAGTTACTAAATATTTGTACTCACTCAAAATATGCATATCATGTCCTATATTCCCATGCTGTCATCTGGAAAGAAAGGGCCTCTTCACTTTTCAAGAATTCCCTCCATATAACATTCTTCCCTTATACTACAACTTATATGAGCTGCACAGTTATCAACCTAAGTGGTAGTTATCCATTGTAGGGGCTACTTACCAGGTCAGGACTGGCAACTAGGTTTTACATGCATGCCTCCACATA